TTTTTAAAGGAAGATCTATTCAACACACTTAGATGCATAAGAGATGATAAATTATGCTAGTACTCAAACGTTTTTTTCCCAGAGTCTTTCAAAGTTGAAAGACCCTTGATAAATGTATCATACAGAAATGTTCAAGAACATTACTTAAATTCATCATATCAAATTAAACTATTCTAAACTTATGATCATTTATTTTGATCACATTAAGTAATTCAAGAAGCTGTTGAATACTGATAAAACTATTCTTTCGTTATTTGCTTTTTGCCCTATGCAGGATGTGCATTGGAGAAATGCTACTTTTGTTTCTATGAAAATATCGTATTTTAAAAAAGGTCTATACTCCTAAATTATTCCATTCAATTGTTCTTTTACATCGTCGTAGCATTGTTGCTTTCCTAAGTGGTTTTCACTGACTGCTTTTCTAAGTCGTTTTCACTGACTGCTTTCCTTAGTCGTTTTCATTAGTTTCTCTTTATTTCAAATGTTTATATAACACATCAAACACACTTAATTTATACATGGAAATAGGTTTGCTTCTTTGTTGAAATGCAGGAACTTTAGTCTAATGGTTTTAGTATTTTGTTGTTGTTGTTGCTGCTCACTGTTAACGGTTATAAATAATGTTATTATATAAGAGTAATTTTACAATAAAGGCATCATAGATACTGTATTTGTACACAAGACTAAATGCTGTTTTTTTTAAATGCAATTTTAGAAATCGATCAATTTAAATGAGTGTACATTTTGGCGCAACTTCTTTTCGAAGAAAAAAATAGAGGTTTTGTTACAAACATGTCAGTGTTCCCATTGTCATTGCCGTCCCCAAAATTGTTACGTTGATCAATACTTTATAAGTTCATTGTGTAATGTCTTGATACTAGGCCACAACAAACCTTTGGACAAAACCTTCAAGTAGATTAATTAAAATTGTCTTTCCTTCCTTCCTTCCTTCCTTCCTTCCTTCATTCATTCATTCATTCATTCATTCATAAATGACATTGACCTTCAAGGTCTTGTGTCTAAATTTCCCTCGAGTTTTGCTTTTTTCTTTCTACAAGTGGTTATAACTTTGTTATTATTGAATGGACTGTATTCAAACTTGAACATAACATTCTTAAGGATAAGTCCTGTATGCGTATTTAAATCAAATTGACCTTGACTCATTAACGTCTTTGAGACTGAATGTTAAATTATTGATTTTTCAATGTTTTTGATATGATTGACTGTTACTTAGTAATTTATAAATGGACTATCTTCATACTTGGACAAAACAATATTTTGGACAGGAACTTCTTAAAGGTTGAATTGGCCTTGACCTTCAGCAGTAAAAGAACTTGACAGTCAAGGTTAAATGATTGAATTTTGGTTTAATTGTCATAATTTCGTTACTTATGTTCGGATTTGATTTATACTTGAACAAAACAAGTCTTGCTTTCAAACAAAGGTATTGAATAATTTAGATGTGACCTTTACCTTAAATTGACCCTGACTATTAAGGTCATATTAATGTAATTATCTTGTTCTTACTGTAACTGGCCATAACTTTGTTATTTATGAATGGATTAACCTAATATTTAGTCAAACACATTTTAGGTCAGGACCTTCACGTACATTAAACTTAAATTTACCTTGACTTTATTTATAACCTTGAAGGTCAAATTATTGAATTTTTTACCGATAATTGCCATAATTCGCTGTAATTTTATAATTAATTTAAGGTTTACCTTCAAACAACCCCTTTTAAAAGGTTAAACTAACCTTGACATTGAGCTTCAAATGACTTGGCCGTGAAGGTCAAATGCATTTTGATTAAGTTGTCATAATTTTGTTATGATGCACTGATTTGATTCATAGGTGGACAAAACTACAATTATGAACAAACAGACATGTTTAATAATTTAGATATGATCTTTACCTTTAAATGTGGAAAAGGGCTTAATCTAATGTTGTAAGAACGTGTTGCCCAACCCATTTTCATTTTGATATATACTCATTATTTGTATTATATGTTTGTTAACATGTATTTAATGCAATAATATGTTTAAACTAACTAAAATCTTTAAATGACATTGACCGTCAATATCAGAAGTTTGTTCTTTTTTCCTTAAGTTTGTCATTTAATTTTGAAAGTGATGCAAACTTGGACAAAATAACAAGTGTGACTAGACAGACCTTTTCAAATAAAAAAGGTAAACCTCGTTTTTTTTTAATTTAACTTTTTCAAGATTTATTGAAACTATTTATTTGTTTGCTTTCAGAAAAAGTAAAAGAAGTAGAGCCTTGTGTTGTGCCGCAAATTGTGTAATACTTAGCGTGTTATTTTCGTGTAGTTGTTCTTCAATGTTCAAGTTTGGGGAATTCTCTCCGGTTATAAGCTGTAACTGACATAGAGTCACTGACTTTCAAAATGTAAAGATATAAAAATCGTCTCAAGCTTTCTGAATTTATTTTGATAATTTTTAATATACATATAAAATATTAGAAAACATGCGGGACTAAGTAATTCAATCATCCAGAGCGCATACAAAAGCCCAGGGTTTTAAAAAAATTACATGAAGCTTATGACAATTTTATATATCTTTTAGGTAAGAAATATATTGTACTATTTTAAAAAGTTTTTATGTACTTATTTTACTGTTAACTGTTTATGTATTGCATAATTTAATCATAAATAGTAAAGAATTATTTCTATGTAAAAGGTAACAACGAATGACATTTGTATGTTTCTATAGAGAGAAAATTGTTAAGTTACTTATTTTTTCGATTAACTTGTTGTTATTATGCATAAAATGCTCAAATAATTGAATACAGTTTTAAATACATTGACATGGAATTGTTTATACATGTTTTTATAATATCTATTATAAATATCAAATCTCGTTTTACGTACTCATCGCTTGAAGTCACTCCAAAAATATTACTGTTTTCTGAGTTACATAACTTGACATCACTTTTATGAGAGCCTTTAGGTATGAGAATAGAAAAAAGTATATTAATCACTACCTGGGATATACGATAACATCGTATGTCCCAGTCACTACATCTAATTTAGGGGTTCAGTGCATTAGATATGACACTAGTAGACCTTCGTACATCTTTACAATCTTTACTTTAAATTATTTTAAAGGAAGATCTATTTAACACACTTTCATGTTTGCACCTGGCAAGACTCAGCAGTTTATTTATGTCAAGATAAAGTAGAACAAATACCAATTTGGATAAAAATGTCCAGGCCCAGAGGGCACTGGACTGTTTATTTAAAACAAGAAAGAAAGGCATATAAAGCTTATATAAGTAAAAAACATGACATAAAGTTGGACAGCAATTCGTCCATATAAAAGTAACATGTAGTAAAACAAACAATATTAAAACTAGGCAAGGAGTTGTGGTAGGGTGGTGGCGGTAGAGTGAAAAAATTTTCAGATAAAAAGTTTGCGTGCGACACCTAGTGGTGAAAATTTTTCTATGACCCGAAAGATAGAATTACACCGAAAAGTGTTTAAACACCAGAAATGCCTTAAATGTGCTAAGATGTAAAATAAGATGTAACTGTACAAACATAAATCACTTTATATTGTTCCACTATATAAAGTATAATTTTATGTTTGCACCTGGCAAGACTCAGCAGTTTATTTATGTCAAGATAAAGTAGAACAAATACCAATTTGGATGAAAATGTCCAGGCCCAGAGGGCACTGGACTGTTTATTTAAAAAACAAGAAAGAAAGGCATATAAAGCTTATATAAGTATAAAACATGACATAAAGTTGGACAGCAATTCGTCCACCACTGGTCCAACCAAGGAGACTTGACAGGCGCAAATTTAGACGACAAAGAAATTTAAATTGTATAGATGCCTACCACTTTCCCAAACCACCAATAAAAAACCAACAAATATATGTTACAGCAAGTTCTAGAGAAAGTAATAACAATTCTACATGAGTATGATCAAGCAAATCATAGTAGAGAACACAAATGTTGAACAATTTGGATTTCCTATCAGGTTACATATATGTAGTCATAATGTGTAACTAATATATGAGAAAGAAACATATTTACAGTTATAACAAAGCTATTTACAACATAACGGGTATTAACAATTGTATTATTTTTAAGGGTAAAACTTGTCACATGAGCAAGTGCTTGAAAGTAAAAAAAAAACTAACAATATAGAAGTTAACCGGGGTAGACCCTACCGCTAGCAGATCTACTATTAAAACACTTTCGACTAGATATATTATTATTAGGCTTATTAAAACGATGTTAGACAAAAATATGTGATTTTATTTACTGGAATAATAGTGAGACAAATTGTCAGACTAGAACTATGTTGACTAGTTATGATAGTAAAAATTTACAATACATAAATATAAAAAGCAATAAAAGTAAATACAAAAGTACAGATCTTCGGCTCAATAAGGAGCAAATGAAGAAGCATTGCAATGGATTTCATTTTGACTATCAATATTTTGAGTATATAGTTGTAAATAATTAGAAAATGTTACAAAACCAGCATCAAGATATTTGTGTCACACCCCAATGACACAATAAACAAATACATATTAACAAAACAATTGTCACTTATTTGTGTTTGCCGAATGACACAAAATGCATATACGGAGTAAAACCAAGTCCCTTTAATTGTGTCACACTAATGACACACAAAGGCGTATGTACATGAATAAAAGCAGCGTTATTTGTTTGTATCACACCCCAATGACACAAAAAGTAATTACACAATACTAGAATAAAATTAATATGATTGTGTCACACCCCAATGACACACAAAGGCATATATACATGAACATACATGAACAGAAACTGTAATTTTAGTTTGTATCACACCCCGATGACACAAAAAAATAATTGCACAGTATTAGAATAAGAATTATATGGTTGTGTCACACCCCAATGACACAAGGAGAGCAAATTGACATTAAATGAAACACGCATGTTTGTGTCACACCCAATGACACAGAAAGGCATTCAAATATGGGTAAGGCAGCAGATAGGATTCTTGATCAAGAAACCGGATTTCTTACATTAGCTAGTCTGATGTATCTTTTAAAGGCATTTGATTTTCCATCTGCCCATTTGCATAATGGTTTTGTTCGGGATTCCTGACAAAATAGCTTGTGTACATGACCCCTATCCTAAAGCTGTGGAGATGATAATACTGACGGCTGAGGTGACATAAGTCAAGTAGTTGATCAAAAACACCTTTGAATTTTGAAATAGTGATAGGGGTATTTAATGATGAAATAAAGAGGGGGCCATCACGAGCACCCCTGATGGTCAGATACCTGTGAAGTGATTTAATTGGACAAAGAACTTTGGTCCTTTGTAAAGTGACATCAATTGGCTTGACCTCTTTTTTAGTCTTGTAATTATGTAACTTCAAAGTTACATGGGACTTAGTCAGATGAACATGATTGAATTGAATGACTTTGGTACACTTTCTTAACTTTCTTGGAAGAAGTTCAGCCATTCTAAAGAACCCATTGTAAGTGACCAGTATTATAGCTTTGTACAGATATCTATCATAAATATTGTCTTTAAAGATGTGGTCACAGGCCACTATGAGTTTCTTTATGTGGACTTTTAACAAAGGCAAACGTTGATCAAATAAGGGGGTTAGTTTTTTACACCCCAGGATCATTCTTTTAACTATTACATCATCACAAGGGTCAGGGAACCTAGCCACTTGGTGGAAATAAGTAATTGCTGATAAGTGACAGCTAATTGAAGATGGCTTATAGTTCTTTATATGTAAATAAGCCACAAAGTCAGAAATGACGGTGGCAGAAAAAGGCATGTCATGGTACGAATTATTTGATGTTAGGAACTCAACAAATTTTGCCCAAAACCTGTCATATGCTTGTCTGGTAGTTCTTGCTAGGAACGCCGCTACCAAATTGCCTTTTATTTCAGCAATAGCCATGGAGTCATTGACAGTGGAATGGCTGCTTGGCATTTGTTTAGATGAGGAGCGTGTTGAAGGGCTTCTTTGACCTGTAATCGAGATAATTTATCACAGATTATATTACTAGATGAACTAATATGTTTTGATTTAAAACAGAGGTTGTATTTTAGGGCCTTTAAAACTATAAACCTGATCAGTTTCATCATTATTTTGTCTTTAGAAGTTTGCTTGTTTAAACAGTAGACTACAGACAAGTTGTCACTTATAAACAAGACATTCGTTCCTGACCATAAATGACCAAACATTACAACTGCTAATGCTATTGGATAGAGCTCTAAGATATTGATATGGAGCTGTTGGATTTGAAGTGGAAAACAGCCAAATGTCCATTCATTTGAGTAAACAATTCCGAAGCCTTTAGAACCGGCTGAATCTGTGAATAGATTCATAGTTTGATTTGATATAAATCTGTCCCCGGTAAGAAGAGTGCAACCATTGTAATCATGAATGAATTCATGCTACAATTGAATATCAGCCCTGCAATCGTAATTCAATTTGATGTAGTGATGTTTACTGTTTATGCCCATAGTTTTATCATATAGACGTCGTAAGAAACAACGACCCGGTTAAATGACTCTACAAGCAAAGTTTAAATGACCTAATAATGATTGCAATTCCCTTAGAGTGACTTTCTTTTGTTTCCTGTACATGTTAAGTAAGGATCTTAGGGCTCGAACTTTGTTCTGAGGAAGTTTGGCGATCATTGACTTGGTATCAATCAGAATAACATGCACTTCTACACAGGTAGAAGGAAAGACCGTTTTAGCATGTTTGATTGGTAAATTCAAGTCTTTTGCCAGTGACATGAATTTATTCAATGAGTTTAAACATTCCCCAGTATCAGCAGGACACAAAAATGAAATCGTCTATAATGTGTGATACTTTTTGTACTTCGCATTTTGTTTTCAAAATCCACTGTAAAGAACATGAAAATTTTTCAAATATAGCTACCGAGGAAGAAGCTCCCATAGGTAGTGCTGTATCAAAATGAAATTTATTGTCAAATGAAAACCCCAATTTCCTGAAATCTAAAGGAGACATAGGAATAACTCTGTATGCATCTTCAATATCAGCCTTAGCAATTTCACAATTGTAACCCGAAGATAGGACCAATTTAGCTACATCATCAAATAGTTCTAAAGAAACCTCTGAATTATCTTTGGGAATAAATGAGTTAACTTAGGATCCCCATGAGGGGTAAGATAGATCATGTATGAGTCGAAAGGAGTTAGGGTCTTTCTTAGGGACGACACCTAAAGAGGAGCAAACTAAGTCATGGAACGGTTTAGTCTTGAAAGGCCCTTTTAATTTTTTGCTTCAAAATTTGCTACAGATTGTTTGAGATAATAGCCATCAAGATATTGTTGTAGGGAGGATACATTTATAGGGGTTGATACCTTAAAGCCCTTATTACTTGGCTGTGTTGTCACCTGTTTTGATGGGTTGTTTGAATTTCTTATAATCAAGGTGGCAGGAGATGGCTGCATGCTGTCCTTCACAGTTTGCACATCTGTGACTGACAGAACAGGACTTTTTTGAGCAAGATGATCTTTTTTGAAATTCCCAACAATAACCTTTTCTTTGAAAGATGTGGGGCGGGAGGTATTTCCGAAAGGAATGGTTGTTGTTTTGGACCCTGTGATTGGCTGGCTTGTCAATTGAGTGAAATAGGAATGTTTCAGTATGGATTATCCCCCATGGTTGAGGGTTGGTTGCCCTTAGCTGCCTAAACTTAGTGTCGTACAGCAACCAGTTATCAGTAGATTGGGCCAATTTTTGTATAATAGACATATATTGGAAGAGTTGGCTACTCTCCAAAGGGTACTTGCAACAATACACATCGGCGTATTGTTGAAACGCTCTAGACCAAGTAAGTATAGTGTTTATTTGTTTCTTGGACCCCTCCTGAATAGAGGTGACCGTTCTATTTCCAGATTCCTGGATTGTGGTGGTTTTTTGTATGTTTTTTTCCCTAAAATAAAGAACCCCCAGATCTACAAATTCCCGATTCCATATCTGCTGCCTTAGTTTTGAGTCTATAGGCGGATGGACGAGACTAAAAGATCCTAAATCCAGTTTTTACTTAAATCAAGGGGAACAGGTCCAGAATCCATAGTGCTTAAACTAACACCATCCTCATGAGTGTCTATTTGGTCATGGTTAGTGGACATGGATTGGACATCCTGGTCTGATTCAATTTCATAATTGGCCGTACCGTCATCTTTATCCGTGGTAGGCAGTAAATCCACATTTTCCTTGAGCACTTCCTCATCCTTGCTGATGGCAGTGGCGATGAGTTGTGCCAACTTGCTGCTATCTTTTTTCTTCTGTTTCTTGCCAGATTTGGCTTTGTTTGGTGCGACTTTAGGCATTCTGAAATGTAATGTCTTACAAGAATTAATTATAGGTGGGAATATGTTGGGATACTCCCACTTTGATATGGTATAAGAATAATCTACATGTACAATAAGTGAATATGACCAACTGGAACCAATTGTTAAACCAGCGGTAAAAGTGTACTTGTAGAAAGGTATCCAACCAGTGTTACCCGGACAAATTCACACGCAGGTGATAAAATTAAATAAATAGTGTAAATAGTATGGTATAATTGTGCATCCCCAAACAAACACACGCACGTGTAAATATCTGACTAGCAGAATGTATAAACAAGGAGCAAACCACGTTCAAATGGTCATCCATACAACGAATATCCTGGGTATCAACTGATGGATGTGTCGGTATATAAAATTAACAATGCCAACTCAGGGCATTAAATGTTGTTAACAGGGACCTTATTAGGATAATGGTCCAAAACTAAACAGAATAGATGAGAATTGTATGGCAACACAATTCATAAATAATGCAACAATGAAAGGCAAATTGAATTCTCACTTACTACTTACTTATCTATGGCAAATCTTTTAATGTTAGTTATACCAAATCAAATCTTTGCATGAAATAAATGTCCCACACAACTATCACTCATTCACTGTTTTGTCAAATTGAGTGTATATAATCTGAAACACAATGTATGAAAAGAACATGTAAAAGAAATACATATATAAATATATACACATGTGAAGACAGGAAACTTATTGTGATAAACATTTTTCAGCCAATAAAATGGAGCCTCTAACTGAAGCATAGTAACGAGGCATGCCCTTTTGGTTGTCAACATGGACACCATCATTTGCAACATAATCCCTAATAAAACGACTGTTGAAGTTGTTCCGTTTGTGAGTCCAAAATATTAGGGAAGGCTTGCCTTCACAATATGATTTCAATAACTGATTTGTTGTGTCAGCCTTGGCATTATATACATGGTCACCAGCTCTATGTAAAATTTCATAGATGACAACAACTTGACTACCACGACTAAATATATTTGAACATAAACTGATAATGCTATCCGCCAACTGATTTGGCTGCAAATTTGGAATGCATAAATCATTACTTCCAATATCTACAACTGTGCAGTTTATCTCCAATTCATTTACCAAATAAACATCGCACCAAATTGATTTCGCTTTAGACTTTGACGCGACATAAGCTCCGCCCACTCCATGCCAATAAACTTGCACCCGGTCCGAATCTAAATTTAAATTCAACAAACGTTTCGTACCACACCATCGCTGGAGGCGCTTTGTAAAAGAGTGGCCCAGTAACAAAAAATTCATAACTATTCTCAAACAAAGAGATTAATGAAAAGGAACGATACAAATTATGTAACAAACCCACGCTATCCACGCTGTCCTAAGTAGGTCAACTCACGTTCGTCGTTGAAGCTGTCGCCGAGAAAACTAACTGCTTTTTAACCAGAAGCTATTTGCGTCTACGTGGTAGATTAAATAAGCTTTCTCAAATAAATATTTATTGAGAATAACTGTTGACGAGCAATAAATAAAATATAAAATAGAGTGAAAAAATTTTCAGATAAAAATTTTGCGTGCGACACCTAGTGGTGAAAAATTTTCTATGATCCGAAAGATAGAATTACACCGAAAGGTGTTTAAACACCAGAAATGCCTTAAATGTGCTAAGATGTAAAATAAGATGTAACTGTACAAACATAAATCACTTTATACTGTTCCACTATATAAAATATAATTAGATGCAAGAGATGATAAATTATGCTGGTACTCAAACGTTTTTTTTCCTTCAGTCTTTCAAAATTGAAAGACCCTTGATAAATGTATCATACAGAAATGTTCAAGAACATTACTTAAATTCATCATATCAAATTAAACTATTCCAAACTTATGATATTTTGATCACATTAAGTAATTCAAGAAGTTGTTGAATACTGATAAAACTATTCTTTCGTTATTTGCTTTTTGCCCTATGCAGAATGTGCATTGGAGAAATGCTACTTTTGTTTCTATGAAAATATCGTATTTTAAAAAAGGTCTATACTCCTAAATTATTCCATTCAATTGTTCTTTTACATCGTCGTATCATTGACTACTTTCCTAAGTGGTTTTCACTGACTGCTTTCCTATGTGGTTTTCACTGACTGCTTTCCTAAGTCGTTTTCATTAGTTTCTCTTTATTTCAAATGTTTATATAACACATCAAACACACTTAATTTATACATGGAAATAGGTTTGCTTCTTTGTTGAAATGCAGGAACTTAAGTCTAATGGTTTTAGCATTTTGTTGTTGTTGTTGTTGCTGCTGCTCACTGTTGACGGTTATAAATAATGTTATTATATAAGAGTAATTTTACATTAAAGGCATCATAGATACTGTATTTGTACACAAGACTAAATGCTGTTTTTTTTAATACAATTTTAGAAATCGATCAATTTAAATGAGTGTACATTTTGGCGCAACTTCTTTTCGAAGAAAAAATAGAGGTTTTGTTACAAACATGTCAGTGTTCCAATTGCCATTGCCGTCCCCAAAATTGTTACGTTGATCAATACTTTATACGTTCATTGTGTAATGTCTTGATAATAGGCCACAACAAACCTTTGGACAAAACCTTCAAGTAGATTAAATTAAAATTGTCCTTCCTTCCTTCCTTCCTTCCTTCCTTCCTTCCTTCCTTCCTTCCTTCCTTCCTTCCTTCCTTCATTCATTCATTCATTCATTCATTCATTCATTCATTCATTCATAAATGACATTGACCTTCAAGGTCTTATGTCTAAATTTCCCTCGAGTTTTGCTTTTTTCTTTCTACAAGTGGTTATAACTTTATTATTATTGAATGGACTGTATTCAAACTTGAACATAACATTCTTAAGGATAAGTCCTGTATGCGTATTTAAATCAAATTGACCTTGACTCATTAACGTCTTTGAGACTGAATGTTAAATTATTGATTTTTCAATGTTTTTGATATGATTGACTGTTACTTAGTAATTTATAAATGGATTATCTTCATACTTGGACAAAACAATATTTTGGACAGGAACTTCTAAATGGTTGAATTGGCCTTGACCTTCAGCAGTAAATGAACTTGACAGTCAAGGTCAAATGATTGAATTTTGGTTTAATTGTCATAATTTCGTTACTTATGTTCGGATTTGATTTATACTTGAACAAAACAAGTCTTGCTTTCAAACAAAGATATTGAATAATTTAGATGTGACCTTTACCTTAAATTGACCCTGACTATTAAGGTCAAATTAATGTAATTATCTTGTTCTTACTGTAACTGGCCATAACTTTGTTATTTATGAATGGATTAACCTAATATTTAGTCAAACACATTTTAGGTCAGGACCTTCACGTATATTAAACTTAAATTTACCTTGACTTTATTTATAACCTTGAAGGTCAAATTATTGAATTTTTTACCGATAATTGCCATAATTCGCTGTAATTTTATAATTAATTTAAGGTTTACCTTCAAACAACCCCTTTTAAAAGGTTAAACTAACCTTGACATTGAGCTTCAAATGACTTGGCCGTGAAGGTCAAATGCATTTTGATTAAGTTGTCATAATTTTGTTATGATGCACTGATTTGATTCATAGGTAGACAAAACTACAATTATGAACAAACAGACATGTTTAATAATTTAGATATGATCTTTACCTTTAAATGTGGAAAAGGGCTTAATCTAATGTTGTAAGAACTTTTTGCCCAACCCATTTGCATTTTGATATATACTCATTATTTGTATTATATGTTTGTTAACATGTATTTAATGCAATAATATGTTTAAACTAACTAAAATCTTTAAATGACATTGACCGTCAAGATCAGAATTTTGTTCATTTTTCCTTAAGTTTGTCATTTAATTATGAAAGTGATGCAAACTTGGACAAAATAACAAGTGTGACTAGACAGACCTTTTTAAATAAAAAAGGTAAACCTCATTTTTTTTTAATTTAACTTTTTCAAGATTTATTGAAACTATTTATTTGTTTGCTTTCAGAAAAAGTAAAAGAAGTAGAGCCTTGTGTTGTGCCGCAAATTGTGTAGTACTTAGCGTGTTTTTTTCGTGTAGTTGTTCTTCAATGTTCAAGTTTGGGTAATTCTCTCCGGTTATAAGCTGTAACTGACATAGAGTCACTGACTTTCAAAATGTAAAGATATAAAAATCGTCTCAAGCTTTCTGAATTTATTTTGATAATTTTAATATACATATAAAATATTATAAAAACATGTATAAACAATTCCATGTCAATGTATTTAAAACTGTATTCAATTATTTGAACATTTTATGCATAAAGTTAATCGAAAACATAAGTAACTTAACAATTTTCTCTCTATAGAAACATACAAATGTCATTCTTTGTTACCTTTAACATAGAAATAATTCTTTACTATTTATGATTAAATTATGCAATACATAAACAGTAAACAGTAAAATAAGTACATAAAAACTTGTTAAAATAGTACAATATATTTCTTACCTAAAAGATATATACAATTGTCATAAGCTTCTTGAGTTTACTTTAATAATGCTACTTTGCCAACATTAGGAAACGACAAGCTTAAAGCGGTTGTGTGTGTCATAAGACATCTAAAGTGTTAACCAATGAAAAATTCTCAAAATACATAAAATCATTTAACATGTATATAACAATCTGTTCACAATTGACCATTTGTGTGAAAAATAAACTAATTTAAGTTACAACTTTATTGTTTCAAATATTTTGTTGACATTTATTTGTCTTATAATTTGTACATAATGTGTCCACATCTCATAATATATCCTCGGGCAGATAAAAAAACAATAATTCATTCAATAACACTATCTGATAAACAATTTTAAGAATACCTTTTTAATGTTTTCTTACAACTATTTAAACTGAATTATATTTCAATAATGAAAAATATATTTATAATATCTATACATTGTATTTCCATTATAACATCTATATTTTCATGTTAGAACACTACCTTTCCTTCTAAAACACTTTACCCCTATACAGTTAGCAAAAAACATAGTAAGAAAAAAATGAAAGTAGCAAATGTCTAAAACAGTAACTACTCACATAAAAGGTAAAATGTGTTGTTTATTATTGTGTCACCTTTACTGAAAGGGCCAGCCATTTCTGACTTATAAAACACCTTATGCTTGCATACCATGTACCTCCATTACTCCTACCACTACACCAGGCACCAGGCGGATAGAACTCGGTAACCATTCATTTTAACTACCTCGCCGCTCACGAAGCTCACGAAGCGGCCATTTCGGAACGAGTCCCACGAGAAACATTCATCCTTCTATTAACGCTCCCCGTTGGGCTCGAACCTTCGACCTCCCGATCCAAAACCACAAGGCCAGCGGTATTATCAAGTGAAGTCTCTTAACAATGTTATTTTTATCAAATATAAATATGTAACATAAAATTATGTATCACATAAAACATAATATAACACAATTTACCATAAAATATTATAAACATGTTAGAGAAAATAATATTCTATGGAAAAGAGATGTCAACTAGAACATGTTGAGCAACTGATTACTTGTAATGGAATAAGCAGATTTTTAAGATGAATATGGAAATGAATAAAATAGACTTATTCCAAATTTCTTCCTAAATTTTACCTTGAAAGTAAGATAATCTTGACGATTTGTTTGACTTGACACAATTTCGATTTGTCAGTTAATTCATTAAGCATTCTAAAATCATCCCAATCAAAATATAATATTGGAGATATAATTCATTGTATTTAAACACGCTCTGTATTTCTAGGTTTCTGTATAATTTGTACATAATGTGTCCATATCACATGGTATATCCTCGGGGGAGTGGCTGGGTGGGGGTGTGGGCAGATAAAAAAAAAGATTCATTCAATGACAGTGCCTGATGAAAATCCTTAAGAATACCTTTTTAATGTTTTATTACAACAATTTAAACTGAATAATATTTCAATTATTAAAAATAAATTCATAGTATCTGTGTTTCCATAATAATATATATATTTTCACGGCAGAACAGTTGCCCCCGCTCGGTGTTGGTTCTTGTAAATAATGAAATTATATCACATAGTTTATCTTTTTTCCAAATCTGTTTTGTTTAAACTTAGCATTACATACATTTACTGTCTGGGGTTTAAGTATAACATCTTGTTTTAATCTTACAATTGATGTGATGTGATTATTTTCTTAGAGTTGTATATATGTATTATTAACTCGCAAGCAGCTTAATCAAAAATAATGTAACACCAATTTTTGTTAACCAATTATGTCCTAAAATAAAATTTGTATTCATATTTGAAACAACTTAATTTTTGCATCATCTCCGTGTTCCCTATTTGATATAGCAATCTTCATGTAACCAATTTCAATCAACTGAATTTTGGTTTGTTTTCTGTTTCATAAGTTAAGGAGGATATTTCGATATATTCTGCAACGCAGAAAACACACTTCAAGTGAATCAACTTAAGATCTATTATATATTTATAGTTTTGAATAATTCTAAAAAGAATAAGGACTTTTCACTAATGATATGCTATATTTAATTTTGGTATTCTCTAGTTACTGCCAGAGACCGTTTTATGACAGGAATTTCCTACTTTTCCTAATTAATTATTTTGTTTGTAAAAATAAAAAATATACATATATTTAAACTTACCGACTTGACACACACAAAGTCAGTATATTACACAATATTCAATATATTTTAGAAAGAATATAGCATACAAATTCAGTTTTATACAATTATATATGTTATGTCATTACATGAAGTACAGAGCGTTAATAATACAAATCAATGAACCACTAGCAGAGTCAGTCGTTCTGCCTATACTATCCTGTTGAGGAATATGTTTCCTAAAATTGTATTAACAGGGTTGTTTCCGTAACTTCTCAGATGTACAGACAACCTCATGTTTTTTTTTCTAGAACGTATATTTTTCAACAATTTTCTTTGTGACATTATGCATTTGTATATACATGTACATGTATATCTTTTAGCGCATACACTCTATATTTGCAGTAATTAAAAATACTACACAGATAGTATACACAAAAACGGTTTGCACGAGTTTTAAGAATGGCAACTTTAATATTAAACTAAAATGAAATGAAAGTGGTTGAACCTACGAGTTTATGAATATATTCTTGAGGTGACTGGTTTACCGACTGCGCTACTTAAGAGAGGTCATTGATTTAGACCATTTAACATCTGCTTATATACATTCACATCGATTTACAAGTAGATCGTAACATTTACAGACTTTGCAAACTATAGGATCAAGTGCAAGAGTGCCAAGTCAATCTTGTTGGACAATATATTACTACAGCTCCTTTCAGAAGACAGTCCCTAAATATTTCTATAATAAAATATCTATTACCCCTATGGCAATACCTTTTACACAAGTAGGGGGCATCTACTTGGTGTGAAAATGTCAATAATACAGGGTAATAAATGTGTCATCATTAGAGAATGACCAGTTTTGGTCAAAGTAATATAAAAGTAATCATAAAATGACAGACTTTTTTGTGACAGTAATCAGTTAGATTATGATTAAAGTAATCAAAAAAGCATCAGTGATCAATGATTAATGCACGACTTATAAAAAAAGTAATCGATTAACAATGATGATGATTAATGATTATGGTTACCCTATGTTTGTACCTTTCTTAAAGGGTTTCCATTGAGGTATTTTGACATGATGGGACTGAACATACTTTTTCCTGATAAATGTAACATTTGATGTAGGTTTAGACAACTTATCTTATTCGCGCACTTCGTTTTTCCAGAATAATTATTCACATTGTAAAGAAGATAACCCAAAATGAAAAGTGTTTAAACGCTTTTCACTCAAATCGGGCTTAGAAAAGCATAAAAATACGATTTTCAATTTATTTCAAAGTATATTTCTTAACTATCTTTGCATATATTTCTGTTTAAAGTGCCCTATCTCATTTATGTAAGAAATTTAAATGTTATGTTTTTAAGCCTTTTAAACCTCAGTGGAGTCCCTTTAACAAAATAGGACAAAATCTATACTGTCAATAAATTATTTGAAAATAAAAGTTTCGTGATAATATTTTTTATACATTATAATACTTAATACTTTTTTTCATTTTCATTTCAATATTATTTTCACTTGTTAACTATTTACTGCACAATTTACTCTTTCAGTCTCTTTCTCATTTTCTTTTTTCTTTTGTTATTTTTGTGAAAAACATTTAAAGATCCTGTATGTTTTGTAATTGATATGGTACCTGTGTGTATACCACTTTTACAGGAAATAATATATGTATATTATTAAAATAGGTTTCAAACATCGAATAATATGTAAAATATGTACTGCAAATATTTGTGTACATTATAAGTAATCAATAAGTAATCAATAACTTATATGCATTCATTTCTTAATGGAAAATTTAACTTTGAATTTATAGAAAATGAATTTTTAATTACCTCCCTTTATTTACATGAAATGGTAAATTCGGTAATATCTTTACAAATAATGCTTATTGGAACTTACAATATTGACACATCTTACTTTGAACATCATATTTATGAAATAAAACAGTAAAACATTGTGTTACGGGATCTTTAAATATCAAAAAGGACATTACGCGGTGACTTTTTTGTGCAGTATAAACTTTTTGGCGCTCTATTTACCGATTTAAGATGCTCCTTAAATTTTTTACCAGCAACTTCCCCTCAACGACCGAACTTTCTACCACCAGTTACCCTCCATGACGTTATATTCTACCATCAACTTCCCCTCCACGACGGAGGTTTCTACCGTCAACTTGCCCTCCACGACGGAGGTTTATACCATCAACTTCCCCTCCACGACGGAGGTTTATACCATCAACTTCCCCTCCTCGACGGAGGTTTATACCATCAACTTCCCTTCCAGACTCCGTCGCATCATCGTCAGCTTTGTGCAGTTTGGCTTCCTCTGAGTGGAGATTGTCGTCATCAGAATCATCACTGCGGAAATAAAATTAAATTAACAAGAAGGCCACGATTGCACTGAAATCACTCACCTGAATATAACAAGGGGGGAATGATGGCCCTATATTGCTCACCTGGTTATTGTGACTCTGAACTAATATTGTTAGCAATGAATGGAAGGCAGACTTAATCTGATATCAAAACATTCATATATGCACCTAAAAAAGTGCAAATGTTAACAAGATTTTTTCATATATGCCTTTTTATGTACAGTGACCATTTTTGACCTCAGATGACTCTTATTATAAGCTGAACTGGAAATCATTCAAACAACCTTTCTGACCAATGTCCAGGAGGTTGGGCTAAAAATGTTACCTCTACTGGCATGCGAGCAGTTCCCGTACATATATCGTAGTTACTTAAACATTATTTTGCAGTATGCTCACTCACAAAAAATGATTGTTACACATAAATTTTCGGCTCGTCACACAAATTATGGAAATTCCATTATTTTCTAAACATAGAATAACCCTTAGTTATGAGGCCTGATATGGGGTACCGAAATTATCCATTATTTATTACGAAGAGAAGTAGTTCCCGTACATAAAATATTACCCACTATAATTATATAGTGTAAGCTACTTGTGTATACTAAATTTTTTTCCATGGACCCGACTTTTATCATATAATCCCTTCGATTTATAGCTGAAAAAATACGGAGACAAGAATTGCTTGCGATTTCTATTGTGTGTGGTTCTATATTGGTTTCCCCTTCGCTGATTCGCAGCATGTGATATAAATGAATGAGAACGGGAACAATTTTAACGCCAAGGCAGTATAAAAGACAAAACTAAAAATATTTCACGCCAAGGCAGTATAAAAGACAAAACAAAAAATAAACTTAAATTCGGTAATTTTTTTCTTACATTTGTATTATACAGGAAATTACTAATTATTCCGTAGTACACAGTAGATTATAAATAGATGACCTAGCTTAACATTGTAAATGTCCGAAATCTTTTTATAGAAGTAGTACAATAAAAGCATTGATGCAAAGCATCAAAGGGCGTCCATGCAAGAAATGCAGCAAGTGAAGATGAAGTAGTAGACATCTGATGACTAGATATTCTTATAAACTTTTCAATGGTTAATTGGTTTTTACCAGAATTGTATAATATTTATGAATTGGCGGACGAAAGACATTGTTCATCATGAACTTTGGTAGGCATGCTGGAGATTAGAATATTATTTTTTTTCCACAGGCACTTGAAATTCTATCAATATCAACGATAATATCCAAAATATACAGGTCTATAATACCCAAAGTGCAATTAGTGGTTTGAATATGTTTCATTTTTCATATTTCATTTCCTGTAAAATTCTCCAGTTCGTTATCTATAACCACAGCTCGACACGAATGACCGTTTCGTTAAACTAAAACTACTTCTATAAATAGATTTTCGGACTTTCACAATGTTAAGGTCATCATCCTATTTATAGGTACAGCAATACACAAAAACCCACTGTGTGGACTACAAAATGATTAATAAAAAACCCGAAGAGCGCGATAAATTGACGGATAAGATAATTTCGCATTGCGAAATTCTCCAGTTCGCGCTATTCATGGTTCGCGACATTTCATTTTTGATAATCAAATACCCTCAAATCAATCGGAATGATCGGCTATTATGACCGACGAAATGGCCCGAGAAGTTGCTGCCGCCCTTTCACAAAATCTGATTTCATTCCATAAGGGGCGTCGCGCTTCGGCGCGGACGCCAATTAGTTTTGACCGAAACGGTCATTCGTGTCGCGCTATGGTAATAAATAACGAACTGTGAAATGAAATGCAAACATATTCAACTTTATAACTTTATCGAAAAAAAAATTAAGTAAGCAATTTTCTACGAATTGTTATATCATAGTATTATTTGTTTGAAATTGTCTTATCCGTAAGTTCTTTCCGGTAAATTAATGTTTGATTCTATTTTGTTTGAAGGCAATCGGTTTTATGGTGGTTTGAGTGGAATGTTGATTTGCCGAATACTGTGACATTTTAACAACATAAACTTTCGTCTGCAGTTTTTACATGAGGTGTTCTGGGTTTATTTGTATGACGAGGATTTTGAAGCAATTCAACAAAATAGTAGATTGATCTCCCATTTAATCAATTAACAAAGCTCTTTATCTATCATCAATGTCAAGTACATGTAGCTTTTATATCTTTGACTCGCATGAACATGATATTAGTGAATTTCCTCATACCTGTCTCAAATTCGGGTAAAAGTCTTCCATTGATAAATAATTTTCACCACATCAACATGCCATGCAAATTTTTTCATGATTTTTAATGTACCATTATTTTTGTTAACGCGAATTACAGAAAAAAAAATATCCTAGATTTGGTCTTTTTGAAATTCATCCCAAATTTTTCATTCCAGCGTGTGTTCTTCGTTCAGTATTTATCTTGGACTTGACAAATAAAACTACTGTATCTTAAGTCCAAGGTAATAATATAAACCATTTTTTGTTTAATTTGACATGAAAAACATGCATGTAATATTACTATATTAATCTTTTGTTATTAGTTTTATATACTGTTTGTATTTTTGTTACAATTATAATGATAAACAATGACTGTCGGTGGACAGCAATGCTCGACTATTCGATAGAGTTGTCACAAGGATGTTTCATTGAGTATAAAAAGGGGCATAAATATGTGAATAAGTAAATCAGAGTTATGGGACCTGTGCCAATCATGTTAAAAATCGCAGTGAAAATGATAAGTTTGATAAGTTTATTATTCAAATTCCATAGGCCACATGGCCCGTGAGTATACACAATACAATATATATATGGCAAGACAGTGTACATTCAAATTTCAAACAAGTTTTAAACAACAACGGAGAAGGTTTACATTCATTTGTGTGTTGAAATATCTAAGTATTAATAATCGATTTCTAATAATATCTAAATGTTTACAAAATTATGTATGTGGTGTATTCTATAAAACTACCCCTGCTCTTCCTTGTCAGAAAATAACTATGTGTGTTAATGTATGTTTCATTCCATTCCCTTCAGTAGTTAGAGAGATACCAGCTTACAAGCAAAAAGTTAACCATGAGTTTCATTGAGTATAAAAAAGGGCATGAATTTGGAAATAATCAAATCAGAGCTGTCCGATGACAGCATAATCGACAATTAGAACAGTTACCAAAATAATGGCATTGGACTAATGGAAAGGACAGGAAGTGAATACAGGTCTACCTTTTGACAGACTAGCACTCTACCTGTGCGCTAGCCCGGCTGGTTTAGTGGAAATGCATTTTATATTTATCAGAATATTATTATGAACATTACTTTTGAAAAGAAGTTTGAAGTACTGCAAGCGTAAATTAAAATATTTATTCAAAAAGATGCAGTTAAATATGAAATAACTAGTACTTTTTATTAGTATTTATACAAAATGGAAGATGCCGTCATAAGCTTAAGTTACCGATAAGAATCTGAATATCATAAAAGCAAATTTAACATTTGAACAAAGCAAAAACACTTTTGAACAAAGTACACTTTCGGTCAAATCGCAATGTGTAAATGTGTCTTCATAAAGATGTGAATAATTACGATAGCAAATGTACTTCTGTACAAAAGAGTACCATTAATTATAAAAAAGACCTCTACCTGTGAACAAAAATGTGTAAAAAGATTAAATTATTAGGAACCCTTATTTTTGTTTATAAAAATATATGCAACAAATTCCTTTTTAAAATCAAGGAACAAGTAAGCAGTTTTGTAATGGACGTGTTGGAGTTTGAATGGGCACAGTTATATTAGAAAAGGAAAGGTATTGAGAGAAAAATACCTTTGGCAATGATAATGATTGTTCTGCAATAATTATTGCACCTTCATGTTGATCTGAATATAAAGTTCAAAAGGGGAGAAAAATCAGCCCAAATACAAGATAGAATTATGGATCTTGGTCAGTGGCCTACAATTATGACCCTAGATGCATATGTGAAGTTTTAAATAAATATCTTTGATAGTTATTGAGATATGTAAAACTTGCATGTAAACATTAACCAAGGGACTAAGTAGAAAAGGGGAAATAAATCAGCCTAAATGCAAGATAGAATTATGGAACTTAGTCAGAGACATACAATTATGACCCTACATGCATTGTGAAGTTTCAAATTAAAATCTCTGATAATTATTGAGATATGTAAAACTTACATGTAAACATTAACCAAGAGTCTAAGTAAAAAAGGGGCAGATAAATCAGCCTAAATACATGACACGGATGTGAGTGTTGTTCATTGATCATTATTTATGACGACAAATATACGTATGAAGTTTCAAGTTTGTATCTTTAAAGTGACATTATGCTCAAATTTTCATTGTAAAATTGAGCTGAATTGACTTTATATTTCAAAAGATGTTTGACCAACAGTTTATATTGGAAAATGTTTTGGATAAAATTTAAAATTTGACTAAAATATAAATGGACTGCCCCACTTTTTTTAAACACTGAATGTAACATGTAAATTCTTAATGATATTTGGATCTGAGGGTTATTTATTGTTTATGTGACGTAAATTATTAAATTAAAATTAAAATGAATTGTGGCAAAATGAAAATTTATTTTTTACTCTAACCTGTTCACTCACTATATACCTTTAGATGGGCATAATGTCACTTTAATAGTTTCAGAGATATGCAAAACTTGCATGTAAAACTTAACCAAGAAAAGGAGATTTTTTAGTACAAAAGGGAGCATAATTCAGTCAAAATACATGACAGAGTAATGGATCTTGAAATGTGACCTTCAACTATGACCGTTAGTACATGTGTAAAGTTTCAAGTAAATATCTTTAATAGTTCTTAAGACCTTTTACCTTTAACCAAAATTTCAAAGGGGCATAATTCTGCAAATATTGCAGGCAGAGTTATGCAACTTTGCAAACTGATGTACATTGCTACTACTGTATTAAAAAGTATCTCAAGCAATAATTGAGATATTTGACTTTACAAAAAACTTT